CCAATTTTGGCAACTTCTTACGCGACCAGTCTTTATCTCCTAGTCTGTGTTTCACGTAATACGATATCTGTGATATTGAAATGCGGACGTTGACATTTTCTAAAAGACGACGTTGTATTTCTCGCAATGTGATAGAGGGAGTTTCCGGTATCATCATTTCCATGGACCTAACTCTTGCTCAGTAAGCTTCCGTGGCATACCACCTGAGTGGTTCTAATTTACCATCATTGCAAAACTGCACCCACAATTTCATAACTGTTTTTCTTGAAACTTTGGTCTTGTTGGCAACTTCAGTAAGTTTACCGCGAGGTATTTCTCCAGTCGTAGAGTTCGCACCGGCATCCTCCAAAGATCGCACGACTAATTTTCTGTAGTCTGCACTGATAGAAGTTCCTAAAACATATGACCTTCCTCTGATCTATTCACGGTTCATTGTCTAGTATTGCAAATCAGAATAATCAGTGTGACGTGATTTTGTTTTATTTATATTTCGGCCGGACACGAGCATTGAGACCAAACCATTATGCAAAATTAAAGTTATGCAAGTTTGATGTATACATCATACACATCATTACATTCATAAATCCCATCTAATTATCGATGTAAACTTGGAAAAGATCACACATGTATCAACCAATATAAAAATGTGGAATCATGATATATCGATAGTTTATGTGGGAAACAGAATAATGCGAACACCCCTGTGATATAATGGAAATATGCAAATAAGGACCGGAAAAGAACTTTGATAAGAAAAACTTTCTCATTGCCTGCACGTGTAGTGGAAGTAACTTTCGTAGTTTAGAAATATGGCGCTGTCAAAAGCAGCTTGTGATGACGAACTTGAACTCATCATTCATTACTCTTACTATGGTGAGGAGAGATGTACACCAATCGACGTGAATGCCGTGGACTTGATACGGATGGGTTGCTGTGGCCTTGAGGCGCGGCTACGACAGGTAATAAGGTACATTGGTCGCATGCAATGTATTCGATTCTGTTATCGCAATGCCGAGTAACTGTGGATTGATGTTACCGAATTGTCGTTTCCCCGAATAATGAGGGCTGCTCGCCGTACATCTACGTCTGATGTGGCAACGATTCATATCCGTGTAGTAGATGGAACGTCACCGTTTACAAAGAAAATGGAGCAGTCCCATACTAGTAATAGTGATCAAACGTCTACACGACGTGGCTTGTTTCCTGGAAGTGAAAGTCAATTATTAACGTCGAAATATTCATCTATTGCCAGTCCTTGCAAAAAGAAATCTAGAGATCAGTACCAGGACTATGGAACGCTACCCAAAGATCAGTACCAGGACTATGGAACGCTACCCAAAGATCAGTACCGGGACTATGGAACGCTACCCAAAGATCAGTACCAGGACTATGGAACGCTACCCAAAGATCAGTACCAGGATTATGGAACGCTACCCAAAGATCAGTACCAGGACTATGCAACGCTACCCAAAGATCAGTACCAGGACTATGCAACGCTACCCAAAGACGTAGGACAAAAGTATGTCTACCGATCGCCAATGGAAATAGACATAGATATGAAAAAGACAGTTAGAGGTGAAAAGGTGTGAATATGAGGAGTATAAGGAAATTTATGATAGTCTACAGGGTAGATTCAAACCTTCGGTTTATATTGACAAACGTAAAAAACGCTGTCTGAACTGTCATCTTCGCGGAACTGGTCATAACAAATCGAACTGTCCAAATTTCGAATGCGAGTCAGCAGCACAGTCAGCAGCACAGTCAGCAGCACAGTGCGGTGAAGTCGAGAATCACAAAGATGAACAAAGTGAGCTAAATTAGGTATATGAAGAAATGCAGAAAATTGATAAAGATTTAAAGCGACTGGAGGTGGAATTTGATGTAAAAATGAAATCATACGAAAGAGTGAACAACAGTTTCAGCAAGAAGATAGATTTTACATGGTCGATGCAACCGGCAGACGACTTTATAATTTACAATTGCAGACTGACATCGGAATTCTGAATAAATACTACAAAGGGAAACTACCAGCTAATTTAGAAATTGCGTACAAGTCGTTCAAGACCATAATTTACAATGAAACTTGCCGTTTAACTGAAGTAGCCGATGGAGTAGCGTTGACTAAACGTAGAAAAAGTACACCCGTTGAAACGTTAATAGCAAAAAATCCACCAAATACAGACTGCAGTCGCCGTACCCTACTGGTGTAAATACAGATCAGCGAAGTGCGTCGATGTCTCCCGATGTTTCCTTGTCGTCGCCACCAGACATGCAATAATATCCACAATCGATCA